AGGTGTCCTCCAAAAGCTCATGTGTAAAACAATGCAAGAAAGAGGTTAAAGGATTGGGTTAAGAAAGCTTTAACCCAGTGCATTAATCCCCTAATAGGGATTAACTGGGTGGCACCAGTTGGCAGGTGAGGCTTGACTATAAGAGGTGGGTCACTGGGGGTGTGGGTGGGGGAGTGCTTTGGGATATAGATTTTGTTCTTGGTGAGCACAGCTCACTGTCTGCTTCCTGATGTGATGTCCTGAGTTGCCTTCCTCTGTTATACTCTTCCATCATAATGCCCTGCCTCATTTAGGGCCCAGAGCAATGAAATCGGCCATCTATGGACTAAGACCTCTAAAATTGTGAGACCTAAATAAAACTTTTGCTCCTCTAAAAGTGTTCTTGTCAGGTCTTTTGGTCATAGCGTTCAAAAAGCTTACTGAAACAACTGTGTAGGCTGCTGGTTTTTGCATGTGGACATCCAATTCTTCTAGAACAATTTTTTGGAAAGGCCATCATTTCCTCCATTTAATTGCCCTGGCACCTATGTTTAAAAAAATCAGATACCCGTAAATATGTGGGTCTATATGTCCAATTGATCTCTATATTTCCCAATTCTCTACTATCTTAATTACAGTAGCTTTATAGTTAAGTCAAAGTCAGGTAGTACATGCCTCCAATTTTGTTGTTTGACTATTTTCATCAGTGTTTCAGCATAACAATGTTACATATAATTTGTCTTTTCAGTTCATGTGTATATGGTACTTTGAAAAATGCTTAATTTTCAGTTGCTTGTTTTAAGAAATATCAGTCTTTGTATACTTACTTAGTATCATGCCATTTTTCAGGTATAGTAGCATTTTGGTAGGTTCTTTGAGTAATTGTTATTGGAGATAATCTCATTTATGAATAAAGTTTTTCTTTAATTTCTGCTCTGCTTCTTCCCCCTTGCGTAATTACAGAACCTACTTTGTAGAAGTTCAATTCATTTAAGTTTATACTAGATTTTTTAATATTTATTTTAATTGTAGTTAAACACAATACCTTTATTTTATTTATTTATTTTTATGTAGTGTTGAGGGTCGAACCCGGGGCCTCACACATGCTAGGCAAGCGCTCTACCGCTGAGCCACAACCCTAGCCCTGTAATAGATTTTTAAAGACCTTGATTATGATCATCTGGGATACTATTTCAGGAATTTTTTTTTTTTTTAAGAGAGTGAGAGAGGAGAAAGAGGGGAGAGAGAGAGAATTTTCAATATTCATTTTCTAGTTGGCGGACACAGCATCTTTTGTTGGTATGTGGTGCTGAGGATCGAACCCGGGCCGCACGCACGCCAGGCAAGCGCGCTACCGCTTGAGCCACATCCCCAGCCATACAATTTTTAAAAATATTTTTTAATTGTTGATGGACCTTTATTTGATTTATGTGTATGCGGTGCCGAGAATTGAATCCAGTGATTCACGCATGCTAGGCAAGTACACTACCACTGAGCCACAATCCCAGCCCTCAGGTATACAATTTTTAAAAAGTGCATTCTCCAGTTGCTGGGTAGTGTTTTATAGATATCAACTAGTCAACTCAGTTGACAATGTTGTTCAAGATTTATATATCCTTAGTGATTTTCCATTTGTTCTATTAACTAATGAGAAAGGAGTGCTGAAATCTCCAAATATAATCATGTTTTTGTCTAATGAGCCTTTCAGTTTTTACTGTTTTTTTACACTGAATATTTAGGAGCCATGTTGTTGGGGTTTAAAAATGAAGAATTTTTGTCTTGGTGAACTGAGCACCATGTTTTTCTATTTGAGGGGAGGGAAGGGAATAAATGTAGGGACCTCCATTTTCTTTGGTCATATTGTGTTGTTCAATTGCTATTAAGCTATACTGAGCTCATTAATTTTCAGTGACTTTTACAGTGATTTAACAATATTAAAGCTAATCACAAGGAAAATGAAATGTGATCCTAGAAGCATGCTTTTTTAAAAAAAAAGTGGGAAAGGCTAAATCACAACGATCTCCCTTTTGATCAAAATTCTGACTTAAAACATCAAGGTGTGTCTTATAATTTGAGGCTTATTTTTCAAATAGTTTTTATTTTTCTGAAATAAAAGCTACATTGAGTTTTACCTCACATATTTTAATGGTATTTTTCCTGAGCTGCATTCAATATTTTAATATGCACTTGAAGTTTTCAAGATCTAATCTATACTCATGTCAACCTATAACTAAACATTTATCAAATGTTTTACATGGATTTTTTATTCATCAACTCTCTGCCCTCTGAAATACAGTCCAACAGCTGCTTCACTCTACTACAGTCTACTCAATAAAAATATCACATAAAAGCTAAATATTATTTACAGTTTGCCCACATGCACAGATCTGCGTTCATCTCAGATAAAAGGTTACAATGCAGGTCCAAAGGATGATGTGGAAATTATTCACCAGCTTCATCAAAGTAAGGGATATACATCGAGGGCAAGTAGAAAGAGATACACTGGAGTCATAAGCAAAGAGCATACAAAACCTAGTTACTACTATTAATATAAACATTAATCTTAACAGATTAATATAGATATGTTAATAGTCTATTTTTAAGGTGATTTCTTCATGACTTATAAAAAGGCTTTATATGCTCACCAAGCCCACTCTCTAATTTTTTCTTTCTACAAACAGGCTCAGGTCTCCTTCAGTCCACATTATTTTTACTTGTTTGCAGTTCTGGGAAACCAGGGTTTCATGCATGCTAGGCAAATACTCTACCACTGAGTTACACCTCCAACCCCTTTCCTTCAGTCTTTTATTTATATATGACAATGGAATGCATTACAATTCTTATTACACACATGCAGCACAGTTTTTCATATCTCTGTTGTATACAAAGTATATTCACACCAATTCATGTCTTCATACCTGTACTTCGGATAATAGTATCCATCACATTCCACCATCATTTCTAACTCCATGCCCCCTCCCTTTTCCTCCCACCCCTCTGCCCCTCTTTAGAGTGCATCTATTCCTCCCACACTCCCTCTCCCTACCCCACTATGAATCAGCCTCCTTATATCAGAGAAAACATTTGACATTTGGTTTGGGGGATTGGCTAACTTTGGCATTATCTTCTCTAACTCCACCCATTTACCTGCAAATGCCATTCTCCTTCAGTCTTAAACTCACAAACAAATACACCATTCCATGATAAATAAGCTAATACCATTCTGACGCCCCTTTTATGAGTACATTTTCTGAAAGTATCACATGCACTGTTTTTTATTCATTCATCTTTTAGATACGTGTGTTCTGGCTTTTGATTTCCACCGTTATATTGACACCTTTTACCAAAGTCATAGTTGAGTAACCCACTCAGCACATGCAGTCTTCACCTTAAACAGTCTCTCTACTACAAAGGACTTTTTGGACCTACTTTCTTCTTATATATATTTCCCCTCTCTCCTTCCATTCTTGTTTGGTCTTGACTAATATCACTTCCTTTTAATACCTGATAAAAGCATTACCCAAGATTCCATTCTGAGACATGTTTTTCGACTCCCTACCTCTTCTTTCCCACATGATAATTATCATGATAATCAGCTCTAAAGTAGAGTGTTTTTAAGGGAAAATATCTTGAAATCAGAAGGGCTGGCTTCAATTTCAGTTTTTACTACAGATTTACTAGGGATGCACAATGGCATGTGGCATGTCACATCCTAGAGCTCCATAAAAGAAAAATGGCTTTCCAATGTTCTTTCTAGTCTCACAATTCCACAATTTTAACCAGAAAGGTCATCTGATTTCTAGTTCTAACTTCTTGAATATGCTACAAATCTACAATCCATCTGCCATGTAAAAAGTTCCGCCTCTAAAACTGATCTCCCAAACAACTTCTTCCTTTAAGCTCCCTTTCAATGTTACACTGGTGCCACCATTATCCTAAACTTGAAACCCCAATAAAACAATGTGCTTTCTGTTTTAATCCATGCATTCTCTCTTCATAACTCCCAATATTACTTCAAGGCCTCAAAGATCATCTCTTCCAGAAAGTAATCCTTGCCTCCCATACAACTTGTAGTATGTCATCTCTATATTGCTTAAGACAAAAAGATAAACTATTAGAAATACTTGAAATACTTGATGGTTAGAAACCCTCCTTCATTACCCAAGACTCTCTTGTAACACCTGACTTGTATTTTCCTCCAGACTTTTTTCTTTGGGAGCAGGATTTATACCTTATTCTTCTCTGCACAGCCCACATTATAAGATTGAAGCTGAATTAACTAAATCAGAACTTTGGACACAAAAGAAATTTAGGGATGCATAATGATTTAGATGTTAGAGCTCTAAAACATACATTGTTCTTCCAAAGATAAGGAAGCAATTCCTTCAAAAATCCAAGTCAACTCAGAGGCACACTATAAATAACAGGTTTTGCAATGTCAAAGACTTATTTCTTTAAAAAGGCAGGCTTACCAAAAGATGTACTCTTATTTTGACAATTTGAGCATTTCCTTTTTATTTAAATTGTTCACAAAGTATTTTAGAAAATTATTAGACCCAGAACTACAATCAGAAGCATAGATTAAACAAAGATGCCTATCAGAGCATTCAGTCAGTACACACTACATTATTGTGTGCTCGGGAAATAATTTCCCAAAATAAAATGTTATCATTAATTTTCAGTTTCATTAACAAGCTTCAAAATATTACTCTTTAATTATTTTTAAATGTGGTCCTCAGTTGATATAGTGAAACAAACTAAGAAGGAATAAAGGGGTGAGGGATTCATCTTCCTTTACAACTAAGAAAAATAAAAATATAAAGTTGCAGATAGAAGAACTGGAATTTCCAAGGAGTTTAAACCAGAAGACTCAAGGCTTTAGCTGATTTCATCTAAAAGATAGGGTGCTTAGGGTAAGGCCTGACAAACAGAACATAGCCTTACTACAAGAACATTAAATAAACCTGAGATGATCTGTCTGATGTCTCATTACTGAGGATGCAGAGCAGAATCTGACTTACCTGGTTTATCCCTCCGGGAGAGATCTTGTAAGTCTGCAACTTCTGTTTCAGCAGCTCTGGATCACTGTGACGAAATGGGCACCCTGACAACAGAAAACAAACCAGCACACCAACAAGGTTACTTACCCGGGACTTAGTATAATACCACTCTCAAGAGACTGCCTAAGCTCCTCTTAATTGTCTAACAGCTTATTAATAAAAAAGCTAATTGCCCATGAGTGAAACTGCTTTCCTCTCTTTATCTAAATGACAACTTAGCTGTACAGTTATCAGGGTGCTACAGGCTCAAGAGCTACATAGAATATTACAGCATTTTCAGTTTAAGATGTACATGATGAGGAAAACAGCTTTAATTTTGCTACTTGCTAGTAAGTACAGATAATCATAAAGTAGCTTTAACAGTTTGCCTTAAAAAAACTTTACATAATCTCATTTTTCTAGTCTACATAAGTTACATAACAGGCACATAAGAATAGGGAAATAGATGGGCTGCGGTTGTGGCTCAGTGGTAGAGCACTTGCCTAGCACACATGAGGCACCGGGGTTAGATCCATAGCACCACATGAAAATGAAATAAACATTGTGTCCACCTACAACTAGAAAAATAAATATATTTTTTAAAAAGTTGCAGTTCTTTTAAAAAAGGGGGGGGAACAGACAATGTAAACAAAAAATAAAATATAAAACCTAAGAAATATGAAGCTCTTATACCATTTCAATAAATTCTATGCCTATTTCCTGTGAAGAGAATACAAATTTAGAGGAATTGTGGAAGAAAATGAAATAGACAAATAGGAAACTATTGCACAGAAAGACAACTTGTAGTATGTCATCTCTATATTGCTTAAGACAAAAAGATAAACTATTAGAAATACTTGAATAAATAAGAACACAAGGATTATAATTAAAAGCTAATATTTTGGGCCAAAACCTAGTAAATTTTAAATATCCTAATAAGAAACTCCAATGGTAAGTAAAATACTTAACTTGAAAAATAAATACAGGAAAGTCTGATTTTTTTTTAATCATAAAGATGATGGATTTGTAAGTTAATTAGAAACAGCTTATTTTTAATGAAATCAACAGGAAACCAGTTGATGAAAAAATATGGAAAACAGCCAGGATGGCAAACACAAATGTATTTCTCAAAAATATCCATTATAATGACATGGACCCCTACAAACAATGCAATTTTAAAAATTTACAGTATATCTCCATTCTGAAGAAAACAAATATTTAGTGCAAAGAAACATTTGAGAAACCTTATAATACATGGTTAAGAGTGTGGAACTGCACAGCCTGAATCTAAAACTCAGTTCACCACTTACTAATTGGGTATTTAGACAAATATCTTCTTACTGACTTAGCTTCATAGTTTGCTCAAGTGAGGGAAATAATAATATCCATCTCACATATCTACCATAAGAATGCAATATAAACTATTTTATGCTCTTGGCATAAACATAGTAAGCCCTCAAAACATGCAAACTATTATTCTTGAAGTATCTGATAAGATTACAAGGCACCCCAATGAGAAAGAAATGAGGGTATAAGGGGTATTGTTGTTTAATCACAGAATGATGAAAGGGCATTAGAAAAAGGAGACAGACTACAAAAAATTACCCAAAGTATATTTGAAATAATAACTAGACCTATATGAAAGGTCAGAAAGAACAAAGCCAAAAAAAAAATGAAGATTGTTAATCTTTGAAGTACTAATGGCCATAGAAAGGTCTTTTGAAGCTATGTTCACTACAAGAAACAGACTATTGCTTGGAGAACCTGTTGATATAAACACCTACTTTGTTTCTGTCTTCCACATAAAATTGTGATTCCCCCAAACTAGAGAGGTGAAAACAGAATCACAACTGACTGAAGCAGAAACCCATGAGCAGGACCTCCAGAGGAAGCAGAGCCAACAGGAAAGCCTAACTGTTATAGGTAAATGGCTGGAGCCTCAGTGTTGGCCAAGTCAAGGGGTTCTCACACTTTTGTGAACTTCACCTCCAGAAGCTCTATTAGTTCCTCACAGTGAATATTAGAAAAAATGTGTGTGTGTGTGTGTGTACACACACAGCTTTATAACAGCTTTATTTATAACTGCCAAACCTTAGAAGCAACTAAGACTTCCTTCAGTATATGAATGGATAAATAGTCTATGGTACATCAGACAATGGAATATTATTCAGTGATAAAAAGAAATGAGCTATCAAGACATGAAGACAGGGAGGAGATTTAAATACATTTTGCCAAGTGATAGAAAACAGTTTCAAAGTATGTAGCCCTCCAGTGACATATAGACTTCAACTATATGACATTTTGTAAAATGCAAAACTATGAAGTTAGTTAAAAGATGTAGTTGCCAGGGAGTAAGGGGAAGGAGGGATGAATAGGCAGAGCACAGAGGATTTTTAAAGAGTGACACTCTTCTCCACAATGGTAGACATATGGCATTATAAAGTTGTCCAATTCCATAAAATATACCACACCAAGAGCAAGTCCTAATATAAACTATGGGCTTTGGGTGATATGATATGTCAATGCAGGTTTGTCAATTGTAACAATTGATATATAACATTGATATGGGATGTTGATAGTGGGGGATATTATACATGTGTAATGGCATAGGATATACAGGAACTCTGTACTTTCTGCTGAATTTTGCTGTGAGCCTGAAAAGGTGCTAAAAAAAAAAAAATCAGGTTTATTTTTTAAAGGGGGAATAAGTGAATCTGTCCCAAAAAAATATGAGTCAAGTGTTTGCTAAGTATAGAACAGGAATCCACTATTACCTGAGGTTTCGTTTTCTGTGGTTTCATTTATAAAAGGTCAAACCCAGTCCAAATGTATTAAATTAAAATTACAGAAAAAGCAATTCAAAAGTTTTATACTACACACCATTCATAATAGTGTAATGAAATCTTGTTTCTTCCCACATCATCCCTCATGCTCAGTGTATCCATGCTGTATATGCTACTTACCCATTACACTCATGCTCAGTGTATCCATTAACCACTTACTAGCTGTCGTGGTACTGCAATGCTTCTATTCAAATAACTAATTTTTTAACTTCATAATGGCCTCAAAGCACAAGAGTATTGTTGCTGGCAATTTGGGTATGCCAAAAAGGTGAAATGTCTCAACTAATTAAGGAAAAAAAATATAATGCTGAGGTGACTAAGATCTGTGGTAAGAATAAATTTTTTATCCATGAAAAGGTGAGGGAGGACAAAGAAATTCATGCTAATTCTATCCACCTCAAGTTGCAAAAGTTGGATGCATGATGTGACAAGTGCATAGTTAAGATGGAAAAAGCATTAAATTTGTGGGTAGAATACTTAGACAGAAAATGTGATCTAGGAGCTCCAGAAAGATTTAAGTCTATACAAAGACTTTAGCAAGGCTCCCTTAAAATGTGTGACATCAAGCCATTTACTGCAAAGTAACAGATTACACAGATTCAGGAATAGGGTTGGAACAAAAAACATAATTACTGGAGAGGTTGAATCAGTGGAAAAAGCTGTTGTTATCACACCTCCTGCAGAGCTGAAAAAGTTGATTAAAGAGAAGGGATGCCATCCAAAGCAAATTTTCAAATTTGCAAATTTTCAAAATTGCAAAGAAACCACTCTTCTGGAAGAAGGTGCTCAAAAGATCCTCATAAAAGTGCAAAGGAGGCATGAGGGCATAAAACATAGAAGGACAGATTAACTTGTACTATGTAGCAATATAACAAATTTCAATGCCATTTTTGATAAGAGCACCAATTCTTAATTTGGGCCTCCTGATGCCTGATGATTAACTAAAAGAAGGATAAAGGTTTGGCATTTCTGATTTCATTTTGTACATGTCCCTTTTGCCTAAAACTTTTGGTCAGATTCCTGCTCAACTCTGCACACAGGCAAGTTAATCACTTAAGGAGTATTCATCCAAAGCTAGTAATCTACCAACTTTGAGGCTAAAGACACCAAGACAAGAGTAACTAAGGTATTTCCAAGATTTGCAGGGACAAGTGAATTGCCAGCTTCTATAGTGTCCTATTCCAGACCCCTGGAGTAGACAAAGAAAATTTTAGTTATTACCCTGTACCTTCCAGGAACAGTGAAGCCTCTTTCCAGGCAGATCACCCCATGAAGAGATTACCCACCTAAGTAGGAGAATCATCTCACAGGAACCAAATTATACCTTTCCAGGATCACAAGTCTGACAATATCCTGCAAATAAAATATGGGAATTGTCCCCTCAAGTAAAAAGGACTTCTGACTTCTCCAGAGCTACCTCACAGAATCAGAACTGAGATAACAATCAACCAGACCACAGTTTGACCAAGATTGCTTAATTATGTATACCTCTCACTCCCTGCTCCATTTCCTCCTTTATTTAAACCTAAAGTTCATGTCAGTACCCTCAAAGACAGGACCAAGATGGTTGAGCTATATCGTCTCCCTAATATGGCCATATGATTGAAGTTCCTGATTTTTACCATTGCTTTTGTTTGTTTTTGGGGGTGAATGGCAGGACCTGATTTGCTGGGACCTGCAGAGTTGGGCCTCTGGCCTAGGACTCCAGTAACAGCACCATTATAGGGCATATAATGAAGTTAGGTATAGTGAACAGAGTGAAGATCCCATGTGCTCTCAAAAACAAAAATTCTCTTGCCCATCTTCTGCCAACATAATCAAAAAGCATTTGTGACACCCATCTTATTTATGGAATGGTTCCACCATCACTTCATTCACAAAATGGAAAAATACTTAGAAGAGAAAGTGTTGTTACTAATAATAGTTGCATTAGTAACAATGCACCTCAACATCCTGAATCTGTTTGCTATGAAAACAAAAACAGTGAGGTTGTATTTTTACCTTCAAATGTTACTTCGCTGCTTCCCTTGACCTAGGCATCATTTGATATGCCAAAGCCACATACATCCATCTGGTATTTGGTTGCATTTAATCAGCAATTGATGTAGACCCTAATCTGGACATAATACAGTGTTGGAAATGATTCACTATTGCTGATGCCATAAAATTCATCAAAGTTTAAGTGAATAAACTAAGATCAGAAAATGTAAATGCCTGTTGGAAGAACTTAAGGAGTAAAGTTGTGATGATTTTAAAGGTTTCCCAGGAACCAAAAGACAAGGAAAATCATTTATGCAGCAAGACAAATGGAGGATTTTTTGACATACTTGATGAAGAAGTGGAAAAACATACCGAAAGCCATCAAGAAGTATTAAGTGAAGAACTGGAAGAACTTTTTAACTATAGAGGAAGAATCAGCAATGTGGATGTTACCAAAATTTGCTAAAAGTATTTCCAATCCCACAAACATTGGGAACAAATTACAGAATACAATCCTCAGTTAAAATTTAGCATTACAATCATCTCCTGATCACTAAAGGATCACAACCTCTGTAGCAACACTTGTTAAGTTAAAAAAAGACAACAATTTCCAATTACAATGATCTTCTAAAACATTTCAGGGGTGGGGGGGACTTCAATTATCAAGGATCTCTAAGCATTGACACCATCTGCTCCTGACATTCAACTATTGATGTCAGAATGGCTCACTGACACAGGATCAGCCAACATAATCCTTCTTGTAATAGTACCCTAATGCTACATCATAAGGCTTATATCAATCATCTTGCTTCCTTTCATCACATAGGCACTGAGTAATCTCACATCATAAGAAGGGCAAGTACAGGGCAATAAGATATTTTGCGAAAGACCACATGTACATAGCTTTATTTATGGCATACTGTTGTACTTATTATTGATAACTGTGCCTAATTTGTATACCGAACTTCATCACAAATACATATGTATAGGAAAAAATAGTATACACAGGGTTCACTACTATTTGTAGTTTCAGGTACCCACTGCAGCTCTTGGAACATATCTACTACAGATAAGCTTAATCACTGTTATTCTTGAGTGAAAGTATGAATTAGAAACAAATATAATAAAAATGCATTGAAATAAGATATTATCTAACAGAAATAAAAAAAATATAAAGTCCTGCATTTATGCTAATAAAAGTCAATTATACAAGTGATGAATGCTAAGACCTGGAAATTCACAAGAAGAATCCCTAGTAATTTAGTTGGCCAAAAACTCAGTTCCAAGTTCACATCTTGTTATGGCTGCTATGCTAACAAGTTTCTGGCTTCCTCAACAGAAGTATCTGGTCAATGACTTTCAAACTTTAGGATAAAAACTACACAGAGAAATGCAAATAAAATCTAATTTTTTATGTCTGAGAGTGGGACCTGAACAATCTGTATTTCCAAAGGTTATCTTAAGGGATTCTAACACAAGTGATAGAAATCACTCACTGCATATTAAAAGCATTGGCCACTTATTAAGTAATCGATGTAAAAGCATTTTATAATGCTTTGGACACATGGAGTCTTTCTAAGAATATGCTGGTGATTATTTGCAGCCTAACAGTGTGCAACCTTATAAAACTGTTTCACTTGATTCTAAAACAAACAAATTATTTTGACACATATTATAGCAATGCTTTGGTAATCTAAAATTATTAATATGAGCTATTAAATAATTGCTTGACACACCAGACAAATGAGAAACTTTTCCATGTATGCTTAGAGAAAACGCTTTATGGAAAAAAAAAATGAACTTGGCTGTCTTCAAATTACAGTTTGACATGGATTTTTTAACTAACAACTCAGGCAAATTGATAGGTATGTTTGATACCATGACTTACAAAATTGCTTAGTATTTGTTGGTTAATCAAATAACAGTAATGAGAATAAAACACACTCTTCCTCAGTAGTCTTTTAGAAAATTAATGAATAGAAAATTCATAAAAAATTAATGAATCTAATATTCCAAACTACAGTATTTCAATTCCAATAAGCTTTGAAAAACTTATATCAGTTTTCTAAGACACCTGCAGAAAAAGGGGGAAAGAGAACAGAAGGAGAAGTGTGGAAATTGAGAACTGAAAAGCCCAGTCCAGCACAAACTAAAATGCAGCTGAATGAATTTCTCTTGCCTGACCTAGTTCAGTAATAAGACAAATCACTGTTAGAGTAATGGTGCTCTAGCTTGACACTCATGACTGACATAAGCTACAAACTGGGCCCTGTCAGTAATGCAAAAAAAGCCATTACATTGCTTCAGTGTTTCCTGCATAGCTAGGTTTCTGCAGTTTCCAGCATATCCACTGAAAGCACTTACCATGATAGTCTCCTTGGCTTGGTGGATTAGTCAGAATAATCTTCAAACAACTAAAAGGTGTATAGTCTGTCCTCTTGCCTTCCTTTCCGAAGCTATGACGGATATTGTAAGAGTAACCTCTGTCAAACTAGTTGAGAAAAAGAAAAAGGCAAACTCAGTCAATACTGTAATAGTGATATTGCAATGCCAGCTAGAATCAGTGTGTACAAAGTGATATTTTTCTATAATAAATTCGATATTTAGAGGCAGATGTATACTGACACCAGATACAACCATTGAACTTTTTGTGATATACTTTCTTTAAAAAAAAAAAAAACATAAAATTTACAGAAAACAAATTTCTCAAGTAGAAGACAGCTAATGTTATGTAGAATCATCTCATTATCCATGAAGATTGATTCCAGGACACCAATCCCCCCATACCAAAATCTGTGAATGTTCAAGTACTGCAGATAAAATGATGTGATATTTGCATATAATCTGCTATATCCTCCTGTATGCTTTAAATCATCTACAAATTACTTATAATACCTAATATAAATGTTTTGTGAATAGTTATTATTGCATTGTTTAGGCATAATGACTTGTTTCAGGAAAAAAGTCTGTACATGTTTACTATGTAATTTTTTTTTCTAATATTAGGGTTGGTTGAACTTGTGGATACAAACATGGAGAGCAACTGCACATGTTTAAAGTTAAGAATAATCCTTTCCCAAGCCCTTAGTTTGATTCTAGAGATTATACTAGAAATAAATCAGTTTACCCTCTCCTCTGCCTTCCTTCCCCTAGTTGTCCCTTAATTCCCACATTCTACCCATTCTACTTCTGAAATGTCTCTTAAAATAATTAATGCCTGCCTCTGCATGTGCATTATATAAAGCAAGTAGTCAGCAAGTGCCTGATGAGTGAGTGAACTACTGCAATTGCCTCCTACCTGGAATTCCTGCCTCCGTGTTCATAAAATAAGCTAATGGTATGGAAGGGACTTTGAAATGAGCGAGATAAGAGGGGAAAAAGGAACTAACATTTATCGAAATGCAATTAGGTACCGCCAGGCATTTTGCTAGGTGCTTTTAAAACTGTAATCCCTTTTAATCATTTAAATCGTCACAGTTCACCTGTGATGTTACACATGAGAAAATTGAAGTTCAAAGAAATGAAGCAATGTGATATAATACAGCTATTAAATAAATGGCAGAGTTGAAAATCATGTGTAGGTAAGTCTGATTCCAAAGCCCATGTTCTTTCCATAATAGTGCACTTTCTCAATAATAAGGTATTTAAAAATCATAGGTTCCAATGAAATCTTTTTAGGATGTAACTTCTTTCTTTTAGATGATACTTCATCTCAGAGTCCAAAGTCAGAAGTAATCTGTTCCTCCAAACTTCAGTAATATTCTCCCTATACGGACCTATAAGTCTCAAGAGGATTTATCTTCACTATATTTTTAATTTTTATGAAGCTTAACTGTAATTCTCTTATAAAACACTACATCTATTTTCTATCAATCACCTCTTTACATAGGTGATTAACTGTTCCTGACCATAAGCTCTTTCAGGTAAAATCTGTTACTTAGCTTAGTACCATCATGCAAGAAAAAAATGAACTAAGTGCACGTGCAAGAACTCCTTGGTCCCACCACAACATTTGAAAGTGTACTTGTCCCACTCTTCTGCTTCCATTAAATGTTTTCCACTGTCTGATGGTTGGTGGTTTCATAATTCCATGATTAGGTGATAGCCATACCCCACTGGTCAAATGAAGGCAGACACTGTACCTTCAACAAGATGTTTGACAGGAGCCAATGGTGAACATTGATAGAATCTCTCACTCCACTTTTCAGCTATAAATCCCTCCTTATCCATGCTATATTTGGAATTAAGCTCAGTTCTTTCCCCAATATTCCAATAGTTCCTGAATAAAGTCTATTTGTACTGCTTTAACTACTGTCCAGCTCTGTTTTTGATCCAACCACCAATCATTAGGCCCTCAGATATAACAACCAATCCTCAACACACTTTGTTTCCAGTCTGCTGCTTGACTTGAGTGTCAAATAAATGTCTGCTGAAGAATGGTGAGGGCATATTTTGATTCTTAAGATTCTAGCAATGCTCCTAAACTTCAATTGGGTCATGTTTCAATAAACTCATACACTGAAAATATCCTAAGTCAAAATGCAATAAATACCCCTAACCTACTGTTATAGTATGGATCTGGAATGTCCCTCAAAGGCTCAGGCAGCAATTTTCAGAGGTGGGCCAGAGGTGGGGCTTTGGGGAAGTAATGGATCATAAGTGTTCTCACCTCATCAATGGATTAATCCATCAATGGATTCATAGTGGAAAGGACTATTGGAAGTTGGCTCAAACTGTAGGAAGTGGAACCTAGTCGAAAGGGGGTAAGTCCTTGAGGACATGGACCTGGGAACTATATTTTGTCCCCAGTCCCTTCTTCCTTCTCTCTACTCCCTTTTGCCATGCTGTTCCTGCCTTGCCACAGGCTTCAATGCAATGAAGCTAGCTGATATGGACTGAAACCTCTGAAACTGACCCAAAATAAACCTCTCCTTTTAGGTTGTTTTTCTTAGGTATTTTGTCACAGTGATCACAATTTAGTAACACAGGATAGAGTCTCAGCTGTTGACCCCCATGAACACACGGCTGACTGGGAGCCACAGCTCGCTGATGCTGCTTAGCTTTTTCAGAGAAGATTATACTACACATCCCTAGCCGAGATCAAAATTCAAAACAGAAAGTATGGTTTCTATTGAATGTGCATTATTTTCACACCATGTAACGTTGAACATTTTTAAGTCAAACCATGGTGAATACAGGGGCAACCTGTGTACTGTCTAAAGCTGTGTTAGACGCCCAGACTTTGTTTCCAGTGGGGCTTCATTCCTGAAATCATAGAATGGGGAATTTCCCCCAACTCTGTTGCAAGTAAGGATCCACTCCCTAAGGCCTCAGCGGGAATCTTTTTCCTGATTCTCTACTAGGCTTCTCTGTTCTATTTAATTCTGCTCCTCCCATGGGAACTTAGGTCAACTGTAACTCTCCTTCTTAAATCCTTCCTGACTATGTGCTTCACCGCTGCAGCCCATAAACTAGCTGTGTGCTTTCTTACTGGCAAATTTTTACTAAAAACGCTCTTCAGCTACAGTGGCCCCTTTGGACCTCCTGGATTATAACCATACTAGTCCACCTAAGAGAAGGTTCTAGAGCATAAGGGAACAAAATTTTCAGATGTACAGTAGTCCGCCCATTTTACCTTTAATGAAGAAGCTGAAAAATGGCTAAATAATTCAATCCTTATCAAATTAGCGACGTTCACAATGACTTCAGAAAAAAATTTCCAACCAAGCAAACCACCAAAAGCTTTCCACTACACCCCCAAATTCCTCTCCTCTCCCAACCCTCCTTTTATAGCCTTCTCTCCCTGAATGTTCTCTACCACCTGCACCTCCAGCTCCTCAACTCCAAACTCCCATCTCCCAAAGATGAAGCTTAGTTTGTAGCCAATACAAGTTCCCATGCAAGGCCAATGAAGACTTGGCATTTAAACTACATGCCATCACCAAGAATCTTCTTGACTCCAGAAAACAAAAAAGGTTCTAGGAGTATACTCTTCAGGATTTCCCAATTTATGGCAACTTATCCTCCCATTAGTTGGGTCTGGAGATGCCTCCCTTTGGTTTATAAAGGCCAAATGAACCATCCTTTCTAATGTCCTTCATGGATCTCAGGGTAACCCGGATTTCCACTGAAGACTCAAGGAAGAAAAAAAATTACTAGGAGTCTTCCCTACACATCCAAAACTGTAAACAACAAAGGAATGAAAAGGTAGCCATCATCCTCAATGAGGTACAACATGGAAAGACCATTCAGGCTAGAACTGACTTCTCAAACAGCTTCTGCAATGACCATGCAAACTTTATAAATAGTCTCAGGTCAGAATCCCATGACATTACAGAAAAATAATATTAACTGGAAAAAAATGCATATATTATCTGAGTTCCAGACATTAGCCCAGCATTATGAAGACAGAATTTTTTTTAAAAAAATGGAATATATACAATGCAAGCTCCACAATTCGGGGTTCCCTCTGATCTGGACACACACCCATATTGAGGAAAATGGACACTGGACTTGGAATTACCTGGTTCTCAAAATGAGGTGAAAAGTCCAAATCCCCTCCTCAGAAATCCCCGATTCTTCTCTAGGGAAGTAAATGCCCAATGCCCTCAACTACTATTAAAAGTGAAAATAACCCTATAAGTTGAACTCCCTCCCACATTTCTCATTAGAGGTACAGCAACACATTCTTCCTTAATACCACCACCTTTAATTCGTGTCCCTCTTCCTCAGAGTCCAAATTTCACCTGTGAATTTTGATAATTTACCTTATGATCTGCCTCTATTTCTATGGAACCTCTAAAAGCCCTGTATAACTTCCTCCTCAACTCTACCCCAGTAAACTTGTTGGGAAGGGATCTTCTCAGAATTGGGATATAAAAATTCCTGCAGGATTCCTTCTATAGGTCCCTGACTCCTTCCTTTCATAACTAGTTCCCTAATGGCTTTGTCTGACTTCCCCCAAGGGGGCTGGGATTTCTTTCCTCCTTTCAGCCTATTACCCATTTAATTACAGGCTTAAATCAACTATTAGAATTCCCTCTTCTTTATAATAAAAAAAATTGATGATATTAGATGTATGGGATACAGAACTCAAACAAATAGATCTTTCCATGCCCTTCCCCAATATTCCCCAATACCACTTAAGACCAGGACTTGAAAGGCTCCCGTGATTAAGAAAGATTAGATAAAAAAACATGAGTAGAATGTGCTATCCCACTTCTATTCCATGCAATAGTCCCATTTTAACTATTAAAAAGTCAAAAGGGGAAGGATATGGTTAGTCAGTTGGTGCCTGATTCTCATACTATCCTGTCTGCTGTCTCCTCTAATATGCAATATTTCATAGTCGTGTGTGTGTGCGTGTGTGTTAAGCATTTCTTTATAAGGAATCTCAATACTAGTTTGGCTTCACCTGGGAAAAATCAGCAATTTACCCGGACTGCTATGTTCCCAAGGATTTACTGAGGCCTTCTATACTTCTTGAGTACC